TCTGTCCCCTTGTCCAGTGCCTCATGCTTCCCAGCACTCTAGATTTTTGTCTTTGCAAATGGACCTGAGTGGGCACTTATCCATGTGTACTATGATCAGAGATATCTTTGGTCATTTTTCCTGAGAGCAGTCCAGCGCACAGATTGGGGGAGGCAAGAATGTGTCTGTGTCTACTTCTCAAATGTAGACAGATGTTAGGAGGAGGATTTGGGGGAAACCTGTGAATAAAAGGAGGGAGGAATTGCTGACTGTTGCAAAATGGGAGAATAAGGTGAGTACAAGAAAAGTAATCCTGGTTTGAGGGCCAGTTTACTGTTTCTCACTTCTCTTCCTGGTGGTGAATCCCACTATAGGGGCTGTCCAGAGCTTGATCAATCAATCAATTCATTCATTCATTCATTCAACAAATATGTATTAAATATCTATTATATGCAAGGCAGTGTTCTATGTGTAGGAATTCAGTGTTAAATAAGACAAGATCTCTGCTCTCTTGGAGTTTCCATTCTAGTAGGGGGAGACAGAAAATAAATAAGTATAACCATATATACCTAAGACTTTCATACAGTGATAAATGCAAGAATACAAGTTAATGTGATAAAGACAGAGGGTTTGGTGGGTGACTACTTTAGATTGGGGGTTAGTGAGGGCGGCTCTGAGAAGATAACATTTGAGCAGAGATGTGAATGACAAAAAGAAGTCAGCCTTGGGAATAGGGAGGAGGGAGAGGAGGGGAAGCATTTTTGGCAAAGGGAATATCACTGCAAAGGCCCTCAGGCAGGAAGGTCTTCAGAATGTTAGAGAAACTGAGAGAAGGCCCATACAGCTAGAGTGGAGGAGTGAGGGAGAGAACACTGCAAGATGAGGTTGGAGAGGATGAGGAATAGGGTTGTAGACTACCATAATGGAAACTTTGGAAAAGGCAGTGTGGGTGAGGCCTTATCCCTTGGGATAAGGATAGTTTGGGCCAACCCAGAATAGCTAAAACAATCTTGAAAATGAAGAACCAAGTTGGAGGACTCAGACTTTCCAATTTCAAAACTTACTTACAAGCTACAGTAATCAAGACAATGTGGTACCAGCATAAGCAAAGACATAGAGAATTGACAGTCCAGAAACAAACCCCCACACTTATGGTCAATTAAAATTTTTTTTTTAATTTTATTTATTTATTTTTTCCCCCAAAGCCCCAGTAGACAGTTGTACGTCATAGCTGCACATCCTTCTAGTTGCTGTATGTGGGACGCGGCCTCAGCACAGCCAGAGAAGCTGTGCATTGGTGCGCGCCCAGGATCCGAACCCAGGCCGCCAGCAGTGGAGCGTGGGCACTTAACCGCTAAGCCACGAGGCCGGCCCCTGGTCAATTAATTTTTGATAAGAGTGCCCAGACAATTCAATGGTGAAAGAATAGTCTTTTCAACAAATGGTGTTGAGAAAACTGGATACCTACATGCAAAAAAATGAAGTTGGACCCCTACCTCACATCATATGCAAAAATTAACACAAAATGGATCAAAAATCTGTAAGTTAAGAGCTAAACCACCACTTCCTTAGGAAAAAACATAGGGTAAATCTTCATGACTTTGGATTTTGCAATGATTTCTTAGATATGATACCAAAAGCACAAATAACAAAATAAAAAAATAAATTGGACATCATCAAAATTTAAAACTTTTGTGCTCCAAATGACACTATCTAGAAAGTGAAAAGACAATCCACAGAATGGAAGAAAATATTTGCAACCATATATCTGATAAGGGGCATGTATGTAGAATATATTAAGAACTCCTGCAACTCAATATAAAAAGACAAATCACCCAATTAAAAAACACACGAGGGGCCGGCCCCGTGGCATAGTGGTTAAGTTCAGTGTGTTGGGCTTTGGTGGCCCAGGTTCATGGGTTCGGCTCCTTGGCATGGACCTACACCACTTGTCAAGCCATGCTGTGGCCGTGACCCACATGCAAAATAGAGGAAGACTGGCAAAGATGTTAGCTCAGGGCTAATCTTCCTCAAGCAAACAAAAAAAAAAAAAAAAAAGAGGAAGATTGGCAACAGATGTTAGCTCAGAGTGAATCTTCCTCACCAAAAACAAAAATAAATGGACACGGGATGTAAATAGACATTTATCTAAAGAAGATATATGAATGGCCAATAAGCACATGAAAAGATGCTCAACATCATTAGCCATCAGGGAAATGCAAATCAAAACCACAATGAGACACCATTCACACCTACCAGGATGGCTATAAATAACAAGTACTGGTGAGGATGTGGAGAAATTGGAACCCTTATATATGGCTGGTGGGAATGTAAAATGATGCAGCAGCCCTGGAAAACAGTTTGTGTTCCTCAAGAAGTTAAACATAGAATTACCATATGATCCAGCAATTCCATTTCTAGGTATATATCCAAAAGAATTGAAAGTAGGGACTCAAACAGATACTTGTATACCATGTTCATAGCAGCATCATTCACAATAGCCAGAAGGTGGGAACAACCTAAATGACCCAACAACCCAAACTGATGAATAGATAAAATGTGTTATATCCATACAGTGGAATATTATTCAGCAATAAAATGGAATGAAGCACTGATACATGCTACAACATTGATGAACCTTGAAAACATCATTCTAAGTGAAAGCAGCTAGTGACAAAGGACCACATATTATATGATTCTATTTATATCAACTATCTGGAATAGGCAAATCTATAAAGACAGAAAAGAGACTAGTGGTTGCCTGGGGCTGGAGACCTGGGGGATTGAGAGATAATGGCTAAGGGGTAAAGGATTTCTTTTTAGGGATGATGAAAATGTTCTAAAATAGATGTGATGGTTGTACAACTCTATGAACAAAAGCCATTGAATTATATACTTCGGGTGAATTGTGTAGTATGTGAATTATATTTCAATAAAGCTGTTAAAAAAATAAAAAGAATGGTAGCGGGGCTGGCCTGGTGACATTGTGGTTAAGTTCACGCGCTCGGCTTCAGCGGCCCCAGGTTCACAGGTTCAGATCCAGGGTGCGGACATACGCACCGCTCATCAAGCCATGCTATGGCAGCATCCCATATACAAAATAGAGGAAGATGGGCACAGATGTTAGCTTAGGGCTAATCTTCCTCAGCAAAAAGACGAAGACTGGCAACGGTTGTTAGCTCAGGGCCAATCTTCCCCACCAAAAAAAAAAAGAATGGTAGGGGCCAGAGCCTGGTACCTAATTAGCAGGGTCACAACACGGAGATTGAAACCTCTAGGGCCTCCAAGACCAAAGGAATTACCATGCTGGGCAAGAACTGGGGAATTCTCCAATACCAACTCCAAGAACCTACCAGCTAAGTGAACCCCAGGGAAGAACCATGGCCTTGGGAGGTTTCTCCAGGCTGTTTTCAGAGACCTGTGTTTGTAAATCTCTCATGAATATATCCATGTCCAAAGGGGATAATGCATAGTCACGTAAACTAGAGCTGTGTTCTCTCTCTAGATCCTCTGTTCCTTTCAGTGCAAATATATTTAAGAGTCCTTAACTCCAGCCTGGACATATCTCCTGTTTATTAATAACCATAGGGTCACAGAGTTGTAAGATCATTTTATCTGAAAGATGCAGAAACTGAGCGTCCCAAGGAGGGTTACCTGCTTGACCACACAGCTAGTAAATAGCATAGAAGGGACTCAAGTCATAGTGAAATGCCTTACCCCTAAATTCCCCCTGCTAGTGACTATATCCCTAATGAATCAGCAATAGCCTAAGGGAGGACAGGGTTCAGACCAGGGGAGGGGAGGGATGGTAGGAGGGAAAGGAAGAGGGGTAGGTGGATGTGGAGGTACAGGGGGAGGTATATGGTAAAATGGTAGTTGTCACTATGTCGGTTTACATTTTTTTCTCTTTAAGCTTGATTTCTTTCCATGTTGGCCTATTCTAATTAACCATGTGGTGCTGTGGCCACAGAAGAATTGTTGATTCTTAAAGGTCATTGAAGGGTTTAGGCCATTTTAAGAAATGGACCGGAGCAGGAGGAAGAATACTAGTATTGCTGCTTCAGGGGATGTCCCTGGATCTTCTCAGTTCCTGCTATTGAGATCCAGTGGACCAGCTGTGGCCCCTGACAGCTTGTCCTTACCATCTAACTTCAGGGTCTCTAAATAAACTCCTTAATGGTTGGGAAGGTCCCTCACTATTACCTGCCCTTTCCTAGTCTCTCTCTTTACCCTGTGTACCCCCCAAGTCTTGCCTGGAGATAGAGGAGGAGGAGGAGGGTAAAGGAGTGCCTTTTCCCTTTCATAGATTCACATCAGAGACACTCAGAGAACAGTTCAGACTCTTGCTCCCAAGCTTTGACTGCTGCACTAAAGATGAGTGCTGGCTGAGTGGGAAAAGACTGAAAACCCAGCAGAGTCTTCATAGGTCATCTCCTCCATTCTTCTGCCTTCATTGGAACTGTTATGTAGTACTGCAGCAGTTCTGAAACTTTCTGGTCTCAGAACCCCTTTACACTCTTAAAAATTATTAAAGACCCAAAGAGCTCTTGTTTATATTTGTGGGTTTTATCTATTGGTATTAACTGTATCTGAAATTAAAACTGAGGAATTTAAAAAATATCTATGGATTCATTTCATAAATGTGAACATAAGTAATATATTTCTATAAAAACATATTTTTCAAAACAAAAAAATTTAATGAGAAGAGTGGCATCTTTAATGTCAGGCTTAATAAAAGACATGGATTTTCTTATCTGCTTCTACATGCAGTCAATTGCAATTTTGATTGAAGAATATGAAGAAAATCTGGACTCACACAGATCAGTAGCTGGAAAAGGGAGGAATATTTTGATGGCTTTTTCAGAAAATTGTGGGTATTCCCTTTAATACCGCACTAAAATTCAACAACTGTTTGTTTTGTAAAGGTTGAAACCATAACTATAAACTTTTCATATTCTGTTACATTAAAATCCATTGGTCTATCTTGTACTTTGGATGGACCTTTTACTCATGCATGATTTTGTAACATCATGCATTGGTCATTTGGGAAGTACTGGTTCATTGAGTTATGCAGCTGTTGCAAATATTGACACATTTTACTATATAATATAAACCTCCCACCACATTTGTTAATATCATTACCTATCATCAGAAAAGTCTTTAAATTTTGGGAAACTGTCAACCAATGGTAGTGGCTGCAATTTTCCCAAGTCCTCATTTTTGCTTCAAAGCTTGAATTTTATAATTGGAAACAAATACTGTCAGCTGTTTCAAGTGGCATACTCCAGAAAATGTCTGCCAAATACCCAAGTCTGAATTACCAAAATTTATCTGTCAGTATACTTTCAAGTAAAAATGGTGTTCCATGAGAAAGTGGTTAGTTCAGCTCACAACTGGAATAGCTGCACAAGTGTTTTTCCTTGAGACAATCAACGTATTTGAGACAACCAATGTACAGCAGAAGAGCTCTATGTATACTTCCCATTTCCTCACACAAAATATTTAGAATACATGTACTCAAGGTCAAGTTTTAATGAAATTAATTTTTACAGCTTCATTAAGGACATTCTCAAAAAAAACTGGCTTTTTTTCCCTTTGAGTGCTCAGTGGGGAAGACTACATTAACTACTAGTACAGGTTGATACCATTGCCTTGAATTGTGCTAAGGCACCAGCAATTTTTACACACCATTGCTTTTGTACTATCAGTGCAAAAGTCAACACAGTGAAAAGTAGTATCTTAGAATTATAATGAAAAGGTTTTTTTTTTTTTTTTTGTGAGGAAGACTGGCCCTGAGCTAACATCCATTGCTAATCTTACTCTTCTTTGCTGAGGAAGATTAGCCCTGAGCTAACATCTGTGCCCATCTTCCTCTATTTTGTATGTGGGATGCCACCACAGCATGGCTTGATGAGTGGTACGTTGGTCCACACCTAGGATCCGAACCTGTGAACCCCAGGCTGCCGAAGCTGAGTGTGCAAACTTAACCACTATGCTACGGGGCTAGCCCCATGAAAACAGTTTTGACTTTATGGACTCTCTGAAAAGGCCTTTGGGCCTCCAGGCGTCTATAGACCATATCTGGAGAACTCTGGCAATATAAGTGTGTGTGTATGTGTGTATATGTTGAAGTATATGTAAAATATTTCTCCTCTAAGTTCACATTTCTCTGAGTTAAATGTAATTCCCAAGATGTGAACTAAAAAAGTATGCTCCACATTTTAATTAATTTGCTTTTTCCTCCCAATTTTAATGCACTGGATAAGCAACATTATAACAACAATAAACATTTAAAAAAAAATCATCTAAGGGGGCCGGCCCAGTGGCGCAAGCAGTTAAGTGCAGGCGCTCCGCTTTGGTGGCCCGGGGTTCCCAGGTTTGGATCCCAGGTGCACACCAACACACTGCTTGTTAAGCCATGCTGTGGCAGTGTCCCATATAAAGTGGAGGAAGATGGGCATGGATGTTAGCTCTGGGCCAATCTTCCTCAGCAAAAAAAGAGGAGGATTGGCATCGGATGTTAGCTCAGGGTTGATCTTCCTCACACACACACACACAAAAATCATCTAGGGGCTGCCCCGTGGCCTAGTGGTTAAGTTTGGCACACTTGGCTTTGGCAGCCTGAGTTTGTTCCCAGGGGCGGACCTACACCACTTGTCAGGGCCATGCTGTGGCAGCCACCCATATACAAAATAGAGGAAGACTGGCAACAGATGTTAGCTCAGGGAGAATCTTCCTCATTAAAAAAAAAAATCTACCAACTCTCTACAGTGTACTTTTAAGGTAATAACTGGGGTGCTTTTGGAAATAGTTCTTTTATTACAAAACTGTTACATGCTCGTTGTAAACAAATTCAAACAATCACTGTACAAATAAATATTTTTACTCAAAAACAGAAATAATTGCTTTTTTTTTTTTTACTCAGCAGTGTACCACGAACATCCTACTTACAGATTTCATTCATTGTTTTTTTGTGTGTGTGTGTGAGGAAGATCAGCCCTGAGCTGACATCTGTCACCAATCCTCTTTTTGCTGAGAAAGACTGGCCGTGGGGTAACATCTGTGCCCATCTTCCTCCATTTTTTATATGGGATGCCGCCACAGCACGGCTTGACAAGTGGTGCGTCGGGGCGCACTGGGGATCCAAACCCTGCGCCTCGGCAGCTGAGCGCGCCCGCACTTAACCGCTATGTCACCAGGCCGGCCCCTCATTCATTGTTTTTAACAAGTGTATAGTAGGTCATTTCATAGCTGTACCACAATTTATTTAACCACTTCCTTATTGATGGACAAGCAAGGTTTCAATGCATATCTTTGTACACATCTTTTTGAACTCATGTGTGTGTGTCTCTGTGCCACTCTTCCCCCAGAACTGGAAGTGGATTTGCTAAGTCAAAGGACATGTGCATTTAAAGTTTGAAGTCACCTCTAAACTGATTTCCTTAAAGATTGTATCAATTTACACTCCTCCTAATGGTATATGAGAGAGCAACAAGGAACTTGTCAGAGTAATTGTTGGGCACGAGATGATCAGGCTCTGAACAGTGGTCTCACCAGTGCTCTTGAGGATTTTTAAATATTTCTGAGTCCAGGGGCCTGGCCCATGGCGTAGCGGTTAAGTGCACGTGCTCCGCTGCTGGCGGGCCGGGTTCGGATCCCGGGCGTGCACCGCCGCACTGCTTGTCAGGCCATGCTGTGGCAGCGTCCCATATAAAGTGGAGGAAGATGGGCACAGATGTTAGCCCAGGGCCAGGCTTCCTCAGCAAAAAGAGGAGGACTGGCATGGATATTAGCTCAGGGCTGATCTTGCTCACAAAAACAAAAACAAAACAAACAAACAAACAAATTTCTGAGTCCTTTGGTCACTCTCCAGGAATCCTAATACTCATCAGAAATCCCTGGTACACAGAACAGTATTGCCGCTTTCTTTGGACTCTCTATTATGACTCAATCTTGGTTAATTTTGGGCAGAGGCACTGGGACAGTCTAGGGCTTTAACCAAACCCCAGAGGCCACTGACAGGCTTGCCCACTTCTCAGACATTTGTCCTACATAACTCTTGTAATGGTGAAGCAATCCTCTTCAACCAACAAACCTTTTGCATCTACGAGAACTTTGTTGCAGAAGTCCAATCCTGGCTGTTTTTTTCTTCCTTGTCACTAATGGTGCCAATGCCAGGGTTTAAGAGGGCCCTCTGAGTGAAAAGTTTCAGGGTAGAGTCTTGACCACAATTATTCTTACAGCTTCTGTGAGCTTGTACCAGACTCATGTCCCAAGTAGACTCTCTTTAGGTGTCCTTTTGGGGCCACAGCAGACACCATGCCACTTCCTTGGGGAATAACGTCTGGGAGGTGGCACTGTTACCTGCCCTGCAGGTGAACGCCATGCTGCGTCTCCTGATTTATAGGCCTGCCTTGATGAGCAAGGGGTGTGGTAAACTGAGCTAAGTGGAAACACTCCACAAGAGTCTCCAAGACCAGCCTTTAGAGTGACTCAGTTCTCACAAGCCAAAATTGTTCCCCGAGTTGGATGGAATTCTGGGCTTGCTCTCTCCTCACATTGGTAAGCAAGGATGTACTTCTGATTCTTGTAAGAAACATCAGAGGGTGATGGAGGGGGTCATGTAGGTCACCTCAGAGATTTTCCTGGGAGGTAATGACCCTATTGCCCAGTCCTCCAGTTCCTCCTTTATTAAAGAGAGAGGCGTGAAGACTAGAGGACATCTCAAGGGTTCTTCTGATTTAAAAGTACTGATTCACTCCATGCCAGACCACCACGACCTGGAAGATAAGCTGATTCTTGCTGTGGGGGTTACTATCTAACTCTTCTCTCATCAGGAAAGTGTTCACACCATGAGATTTCAAACTTTCACCAGTCCTGAGATATTCTTAAGTCTGTGGCACAATGCCATGGCACCAGCCAAGGAGAGCTTCTAGAGAAGGTGGCTTCCCAACTTGCAGGATACAAGAGGACATAAGAAACAAGATGTTTGGAGTGGTCGGCCTCAGGTTCCCCAAGTGTGGGATAGGAGAGGTAGGGATTTCATTGTGATGCACATGGTAAGGCTCTGGGTTTCTCCAAAGGATCTACTGATCGTAGGCTCTCAGAACCCTATTCTTGTCAAAGAGCTTGTACAACTGGGGACCAGGGCATCTGGGCTGAACCCCTAAACACCTGCTGGTACTTATTCCTCAGTGTGATTCTTGGCCTTCTCTTTTAATTAGTACTGAGGGGTGAAGGGAAGCTCACAGAATTGCCGCTAGTACTCATATTTTCAATATGCATCTTTCAGTGGAGGCAATATGCAAAATATATTCACCAAGGACTCCTCTGGGGGAAAAGTGGCTTAATCTTCATTGCTAACCACATGACCTTTCTGCAGAGATGTTTCGTTTTGTGAAAAGCAAAGGTACAACTTGACATCTTTTAAAAATTTGTTTCCAGTTACAGTAAAGATATTTATCTATGTTTCTGTTCAGTATACTTCTCTTGAGGGTTTCTGGCTGACTTACCATGTAATGTTCTATATAGGCTAAGTTCTTCCCATTGCTGTCTGAAACCAAACACATAGGGTGAAACCATCATCTTCTTCACTTGAAAATGAATTATTCCTGCTTAATTTTCCTAACACTGCCAATAAATATCTCATTTGATCACTCCCAATTTTACACCTATAGTGATTTTTTCTTACAACTTTTATTAAATTTTTTTCTGACCACCAGAGTAATACATTACTTACAGAAAAATTGAAAACATAAATAAAATAAATAGAAATCATCTATCATCCCACCATCCATAGATAATCTATCTTAGTGTATGTCATTTTAATGTTTAGGAATATTCTTTTTTTTCTAAATTTATTATTTATTTATTTTTTTATGAGGAAGATCAGCCCTGATCTAACATCCATGCCAATCCTCCTCTTTTTGCTGAGGAAGACTGGCCCTGAGCTAACAAACGTGCCCATCTTCCTCCACTTTATGTGGGACGCTGCCACAGCATGGCCTGACAAGCAGTGCGTTGCTGTGTGCCAGGGATCCAAACTCCGGCTGCCAGCAGCGGAGCACGCGCACT